CCAGCCTATGGGGGCAGTGTTTCCTCTGTCAGGTCTCTCTGTAACAATGTGCAGCTGCAGTCATCACAAAATGCAGACTTAACTCATTGATTATAATTGGCGGCCAACCTCTGAAGAGCTGGAGAGACACCAGTGACTGAGGCCACTTGCTTAGAAAATTATCAGAGATGTTTCAGAAATAATCCCTATACTCATTAGCAGGTGAGACTAGACCACCTCCAAAATGTAGTCAGCTCTCAGTCTCTGAAGGTACTGCTTCAACGACAGTTACCTCTGTTGTTATCTGTTTAGCTATTATTAGTCATTTTTGTTAGAACTCTCACATGTCACTTTTCTCAGGGCATGAAGGTTTCCAGGGTATGAAGAACAGGAAGCTGGAAATGGCCAAAGGCAATGTCATATTTTCTTCTGGACCTTCAGTCTTCCATGCTTGACATAGCAAAGTGAGCACAGCTTGGATCAGCTGAAGGCAGAATGCTGGGTCTGCCTCTCCTCTCGCTAAATTTTTCAAACCCTGCCCAACTCCCACTGGCCATTCCCTGTAGCCTTTTTGCCAGGACCCTAAACTCTCATTCTCAGCCCTGCCTTACATCCATTTTAAGTAAAAGCAGAAAGAAGGAAAATGATGAAAAATAGTATATGCTTGTAAAAACTCCTGCAGTAGCAGCTAGAATGATGAGTTCATACCCTCACTGTGGCCAATCAGGTTTTTCCTCTCTTTCTCACACATAGAAGAGCTTTTCTTGTTGCAATCTCTATATTTCCTGGATCCTCTGGGTGTGGGGTTAAGGCTGAGATGATCTGGTAAGATAACAGCACCTCCAGGCTTCAGGGAGCTGCCAGCAGAGCCTACGAAAGATCACAGGTGTGTGAATTGCAGAACATGTAGAGCTGTGAGAACCTCGGGGACACACATCACTTCCTGTTACAGACGAGGGAGACTAGATGGGGGGAGAGTAGTGAGATGGTTAGTGGTAGAGTCTAGAAAACTCACTGGGGTGGCCTTGGGCCCTTTCCAATACAAATAGGACATGAAGCTCTTGAAGTCCCTCACTTTGCTAAAGAGTTTTAAACACTTTTGTTTGTTGTAATGTGTTTAGAAAATGGAACAAAATATTTGTGTTATTTGTGTAAATGGACTAGTAGTGAAATATGCTTGTATGAGAATTTTTTATTTTTAGGATGTCTTTAGGTTGTCTATTAGCATTTTCACTTAATACATGAGAACAAAACAATGGGAATCCTCATGCCATCTCTCTTTTTTTCAGCGTCTAATGCTTTTCCAACTGTCTTCTCCTTGTGCTATGGACTGAATTATGTCCCCATCATAATTCCTGTGTTGAAGCCCTAGCCCCAGACTAGATGGCACTTGGAGATGGGGCCTGTGGGAAATAATTAGGCTTGAATGAGGTCATGGGAGTGGGCCTTTCGTGATGCAGCCAGTGCCCTTATAAGAGACGTGAGAGAGTTTTTGGTCTCTTTCTTTCTGCCATGTGAGGATGTAGCAAGAAAATGGCTAGGAAGACAGTCATCACCAGAATCCGACCGTCCTGACACCCTGATCTGAGACTTCCAGCCCTCAGAACTATAAACATAAAAGTTTCTGGTTTAAGTCACCCCCTGTGTGGTCTTTTCTGAAAGCAGCCAGAGCTGCCTAGACACCTGCTTCTCCTCTCATTTTCTTTCTACCTTCTCTCTGTATTACTCTCTTCCAGATGGAGGATGTGGTCCTAGTGACCGTGACTGCCTATGCAATGCCGCCTCACTGCATTTTTGCTGCTGCATCATTAGAGCTGGGTGAACAAAGTATTTTATCTATACTGCATTGTCTAAAAACTTTTGGACCAGTTTGACCAGGGGTGGCACTAAACTCTCTGCATTGTACAAATTCGATGAAGATAACTCATTCTAAAAGCAGAGGAAAAACTGGGGAGAGAAAAGATGGAAGGAGAAGTTAAAGAGGAAGAAGATGTCAGACAGGCACAGTGAGGCTCCACTGCACCCACCTCTAGCCCTGCCCCCTGTGGAGGTCCTGCAGCCCCTGCTGCTCACTCCTCCTCTCCTCAGCATCTTCCCTGGCCACTTTGTGGCCATTTCCCTTCTACTCCTGATAAAACTCACTTCAACCTATCTGAATCAGTTTCTTACATATTTTAAGAAGTAGTTTAGGGACTGAGAGAAACATTACTGTCAGTCACAGACACAAAAGCCTGCTACCTGGATAACTACACACCTGCTTAAGATGGGGCAGCTTTGCTGTGGTAGTGCATTCAGGAAAGAAATCACCCACTCCTCAGCAAATAAAATTAATTGTCAGTCATCACTTTTTGCCAAACTTTGATTTCCATGACTCCACCCTCTGGGGTAACAGAAAAATGATCTGTATGCCAATGGTTGAGGACCAGAGATCCTCCCTCTCAAATAATATCTGTGCAGATTAACTAGAGCCATCTCCAGGTAACACATCCACCTGGGTTTCAGAGAGTGCTCATCTGGAAGAAAACGCTAGCTCAGCATTATCCTACAGAAATATAATGGGAGTCACAAATGTAAGCTATGCATTTTAAATTTTTTAGGAGCCACATTTTTTAAAACATAAAAATAAGTCAGCGAAATTATTTTAAAAATACATTTTCTTTAACACAAAATATTCAAATATTATCATTTTAATGCATAAGCAATATAGAAAATGTGAAATATTTAACACTTTTTAAACTGAATCTTCCAGTCAAATGTGTATTTTACATTAAAGCACATCTCTATTCAGACTAGCCACATTCCAGTGCTTAATGGTCACATGTCACTAGTGACTACTGTATTGGACAGTACAGCTCCGGTCAAACAAAAGGAAAGGTGAGACCCTGGCACATCAGCAGATAAGGAAGGCCTCCTGCCATATGGACTCCCTCTCCTGGGGTGGAAAGCACAGGCCTGTCACAGAGGCAATAAACTAAATGCTCTTTTGAAATTTGAGATGTTTTTTCATTGCTTGTTAACTTATGAAAGGTACTCAAACCAATATCTTTCTTTCTTTCTTTCTTTCCTTTTTTTTTTTTTTGGAGATGGAGTCTCACTCTATCGCCCAGGCTGGAATGCAGTGGTGCAATCTTGGCTCACTGCATCCTCCAATTCCTGGGTTCAAGTGATTCTTAAGCCTCAGCCTCCTGAGTAGCTGAGATTACAGGGGCACACCACCACTCCCAGCTAATTTTTGTATTTTTAGTAGAGATGAGGTTTCACCATGTTGACCGGGCTGGACTCGAACTCTTGACCTCAAGTGATCCACCTGCTTCAGCCTCCCAAAGTGCTGGGATTACGGGTGTGATCCACTGTGCCCGTCCTTCAGACCGGTCGGAATAATGAAGAATGGGTGATCTTAAATATTATTGTTATAATTTTAAATATTCTAACAGAAATTCAGAACAAAAATTTCCCCATGGATTCTTAAACCTTACTAAAGTGCTAATAATTTCTAAGAGAAGAGAATAGGCTTATGTCTCCTCTTATCACTTTTGCAAAGCCAAAAACACCCTGCCCACTGTGCAATGTGTTGCCAAAATTTTATCCCTTGATCTCTTGGGAATGTGATAACTGCTAATAATTTTATTTGCTGAGAAATGGTTGATTTTTTTTTTTTTTTTTGCCTGCATGCATTACTGCAGCAAGCTGGCCCATTTTTAGCAGGTGTGTAGGTACCTAATAGTAGCAGGCCTTCGTATCTGAGACTGACAGCAATGTTTCTCTCAGGTGAAGCTGTGAGATTTGTTTTCACTGGGGATCTCATAAATAGGGGACTTTAATTATAACAATCCACCATGGAGACGACGCGTCAGGTTCATTCATATATGCCATTAGCTCCATTAGTTCTGAAATGATACCCAAGCCCTTGACATCTCTTACTACTTACACCTAAGTCTGCCTTTTATATAGCTCAGAGACATTTAATGCTGGAAATTTCAAGAGTGGTAGGGTACTGCTAAAGGCTAGTAAGATGGACTTGAATTTAAGAAGCCCATTTTTTGATGGGCTATAGAGGTGTTTTCAAGGACTCTTTATGACCACTCATCTTTTTTTTCCCCATTTATTTATTTTATTGCATTTTAGGTTTTGGGGTGCGCACTTCTTAATTAAATCACAAATACCTCCTGGACATGAAAGCTTATCCTTTATCGATTTCTATCAGTTAACCCCTCAGATAAGGATAAGGCCTGAGTAAGTAAGGAGAGAGAGACGTTCCAACAAAGAGATAAAAGACGAGGTACATGTAAGATTGTTGCATATGTACACGTACCTCATATTTTATCTCTTTGTTGGAACGTCTCTCTCTCCTTACTTACTCAGGCCTTATCCTTATCTGAGGGGTTAACTGATAGAAATCGATAAAGGATAAGCTTTCATGTCCAGGAGGTATTTGTGATTTAATTAAGAAGTGCCAAAAAGCCTTCAGGCCTTAAAGAAATACCACGATAACAGAGTTTTCCTGGACTCGAAAGCTGACTTGGGTTTAGAAACTAGTCTTTCCTCTTTATTGCTTTCCCCAGAAAGAGCAATGGCAACCTTTTCATTTTTTAAATTTTCAATTGAATTAAAATTCAAATCAAAGCTTAATTCTGCTTGATCATAGCTCTTGTGAAAGATTCTTAGGGAAAAGAATAACATGAAAGTTGGGATGGCTGTTGCTTGTAGATTGGATTTTCATGGCTGAATCATTCCTATGGTTAATTGAAAGTTAAACGCATATAAAAACGAGTTGGCAAGGGCTGATTCTGTACATTCTCAAGAAGCTCCCAAGTTTTGTTTTGTTTCTTTTTTCATGAGCACCCAGAATCTTTCCTCTCACTGGATCCAGATTTTATTCTCAGGGTATCTAACCAGATGATGCAACATCTGTGCTCTCTTTTAAGAACGTGAGAAATTAAGCTTTTTTCATTTTTCCTCTCCTTGCTTTCTGGGAAATCTAATCAAAACTGCTCAGACTTCCCTTTTCTTGTTTGCTTTAGAAGACAGCTTGTTGGAAGAGTTCTGTGGAGGTCTCCCACCTGTGGAGAAGAATGATAGAAAAATTAGCCTGATTATGGAACTGTCGACCCAGGTTTCCCTTCAGACTGAGAGGATCACTCAGCTTCAAGAAATTTTGGAGGAAAAGGAAAGGAAGATTCAGCAGCTGGAAGCTGAGCGGAGTGCCCAACCTTCCCAAGAGGTCAAGGACCCTCCAGAATGTTTACAAAAAGCCCCAATTTTCTCTTTTGATGATGTCCCTCTTGTGGTCTCTGATGAGAATTTGTAAAGATTCCCAGTAAGAAAACAATAAAAGTTTTTAAAGTGTCATCCAGGTACAGTCAGATCCCACCAATCACAAGTAGTCTCCTAGGTGACAAACTCAAGTTCAAGTCCATGGGTTTGAATGTATACTATAATGTTCATTCATATTGGAAGGAAACAAAATAAAGGAAATGTTCAGGAGGAAACGCTGCATGTTTCCCCATCGGACAGCAATAGTCACGTAAACCACGCAGCTGTAGACTACTGTGTTTTTAGACGTTCCTGGTAGGAGTGGGGGGAGGGAAGGAAACAATACTAGACAGATGGTGAAAGAGCTTAGCATTATCCTCTTACCAGATATTTGTCACACTGCGAGGGAGGCGTGGCACCGACCAGTTTAGTATGCAGCTCTATTGTGAAAAGAAAGCTGCCGTGGAGGGCAAGCTTCAAACCGGTGAATGTTGGGGTACTAAAGAGCAGGAGCCGCCAGCAGAGTAAATAGCCATGAGGTCGGTCCTTTCATGTCCTCAAGAGTTTATTTCTTTATGGCATGCATTTTATTAACATTAGCAAGGATAGAGAGGAAATAAAACTAAAGCAATAAAAACAATTAAAAATGGGTAAATCAGAGCTGCGGTCCTTTGGGAAAAGTGTCCTGGTTCAGTATCTCCCTGGGAAAACACACAACACTGATTTTTCCCTTAGGAAAAAGACTAAAGCCAAAGCAAAATACAATCTTCTATTCTGATTTTACCAATGAGCTGTGAACAGTGCAAAATACTTGTAGGAATAATGGAGAATAGGCAAAGGAAAGCTGCCCTATAATTAATGGAATAAAAGAAATCAGATCATATTTCTCTTCCACTCAACCCCCTTAAATAAACTATTTCCCACCAAAGGGAGCAGCTAGGTACTAACTGTGAGGAAGACTTTTGTCCTTAATTCTTACTGTTCTGGTACAGCATCACTCAGGCAAACAGCTCTAGCTCTCTTATGAGTATGACTGTAATGCTAGTTTTCCATTTAATTCAACTGGTTCAACAAATCCTCATCAAATACTCTTCTATCTGGAAGGCACAATAATAGATGCTAGAAATCACAGCAAACATGAGAATCACTATTTTCACCATCCGGAAGTTCACAGATACACAGGATCTCCTTAAAAGTAAGCCTGATTGTATCGAGAGATGGGAAATTGGAGAAGGGAAGTGGGTGAACATGGGGTAAACCTGATCAGCATGGCTTCAGCAACGGTTCTCAGATATACTGAGCATGGGGAATCAGCAAGAATGTACATTCCTGGCTTCTGGTTTAGGGCCCAGGAAGATGCATTTTAACAAACACATGTGGCATTTCTGATGAACGTATTCCAGAAACTACATTTTAGGCCACATTGGTTTAGGGATGGCTTCAAGCAGCCCTATTATACTTTTGGCTCCCGGACTAATAGAGAATCCCCAGAAGGAGAATTTCTCCTTGCAATCTGGGTTGAGTCTTACACACTATTTAACTATTGCATAATCTTATGATGGATCCCGACTATCTACAAAACAGTTTCCAAATGTGATTTTTTTTAAAACAAAAAGGAATTAATTGAGTTCTTGACTCACATAAGATGACTTATCGATATTGACTCCAGAGGTTCACTACCCCCTAACAAGAAAAACGCAAAAAACAAAAATCATGGGTCCTATCAGAAGCCTCTGTTTTCAACCAGAGCTAGATTTTTCCCTCAGTATTTAACCTCAGTTTTGCCTGCAATTGCTACAAGTATGCACAGGTGCAGCTCTATATCAGAAATGAAACTAAATCACTGATCATGAATATACACTACCCCGGAAAGTAGTTAAAAGTACCTCTTGGTCGGGCGCGGTGGCTCAAGCCTGTAATCCCAGCACTTTGGGAGGCCGAGGCGGGTGGATCACGAGGTCAAGAGATCGAGACCATCCTGGTCAACATGGTGAAACCCCGTCTCTACCAAAAATACAAAAAATTAGCTGGGCATGGTGGTGTGTGCCTGTAATCCCAGCTACTCAGGAGGCTGAGGCAGGAGAATTGCCTGAACCCAGGAGGCGGAGGTTGAGGTGAGCCGAGATCGTGCCATTGCACTCCAGCCTGGGTAACATGAGTGAAACTCCGTCTCAAAAAAAAAAAAAAAAAAAAAAAAAAAAAGTACCTCTTTATCTTTTCCATAGGGTGCACTTCAGTTCCTACAAAATCTACTTCAGAGATCCCTTCTCACTGGTCCCTCCTTTTCTCACCTCCCAAGCCTCATGATTTCCCTGCTCTTTTCTTTTTTTCTGGCCTAGGTGTCCCTGTTGCAGTCATGACACTATCCATTGCCCCTGTCCGTTGCCCCTGACACTATCATGAGGCTGAGGCATGTTCTTATTGTGTATTTCTAGGAGAAAGCTTTAAATCTTTCCCTTAATAGTAGACCATCTGCAAGACAAACTGACAACTCCACAATTTTGTTGTGTTATTATGCTAACCAACTTTCCATCTTTTTATTTTACCAAAGATTGTCTTAATCTTATGGGATATTGGGAGTGAGATATCTCAGTCTCACTATAGAAAATTAGAGAGAGAGATGGAGAGAGAAAACAAATTCATCACATTCCAGATAGAGGGGCGTCAACTTCTAGATCAATTTCCCCTGGCTAATGTCCTGAGTAGCCCTCACTATGAAAGCAGTCTTACAGTGGAGATAAAGTAACAGGTAGAGCAGGAGCTGCTATTAATAATTAATTGAGCCTGTCACCTCTAAATATCCAAGGACCAGACACTGAAGAATAAAGCACTAAGGGTCATATTACCCTGCAAAACCATCTTTACAAGAAGCTCATCTTGACTCAGGTCGAGGTTACTGCCACATTAGAAGTTGGGAGGAAATTTGGCCCAAAGGTATGAATGGACTAATCTCTGTTAGGGACATCTTAGTAACAAGACATTTTTACGTATCTGGGGTTGGAAGAGAGGGGATGAAAGGAGTGTTATTGACCCCAGAAGAAGTTATTCTTTTCCTTTATTTGTTTTTAAATTTAATATTATTTAAAGACAGGGTCTTACTCTGTGGCCCAGGCTAGAGTGCGGTGGCACAAACATGGCTCACTGCAGTCTCAGCCTTCTGGGTTCAAGCAATCTTCCTGTCTCAGCATCAGGAGTAGCTGGGGCCACAGGCGTGAGCCACCACACTCAGCTAATTGTTTTAGTTTATTATAGAGACTGGATCTTGCAATGTTGCCCAGGCTGGTCTTGAACTTCTGGCTTCAAGCAGTCCTCCTGCCTTGGCTTTCTAAGCTCTAGAATTACAGGCATGAGCCACCAGACCCAACTGGAGAAATTTAAAAGTAGAAAAATTCACATTCCCAGCTGAATCTTTGTGTGATTGTATGCCCCAAAGTTCATTTCTATGTTCTGTCAAACCTCTAGGAAATTGAGTAGTAAACTTCAAATTGTGCTAAACACCTGGTTCAGACAAACTGAAAATCAGATTATAGCCTACACTGTAAACAAAAATCTCATTTTCTTAGAGCAAATCGGGTTGCTGAAGTAGTTCACACTGATCATTAAAATATCAGGTATAAATATAACAAGGCAATTCACATGCTAATGATCCTGTTTTTTAATGAAAATTCAGCAAATCATCAGGCAATATATCTGATTCAAAACTAACTGAAAATCTGGGAAATAAGGTACTTAACAAGAGTACCACAAGCCATTCTCTAATAGTATAAGAACATTTACAGAACTATATGCATAGTTTTAATTCTCCTTTTTCACCAGTCATGAACTTTTCTCAGACAGAAAGCTAAATTAAATATGTAACATTTCTAACCAATTTAAGTAAATATTGGATTTAACAATTTAGTTTCATTATTATATTAGCGGACTTCCAAATACTTTCATGGGAAGCTGAAATCATAGCAATAAATTTGTTAAAGATTAGTAGAAAAGCAAGTCATTGGAGTAACTGGCCCAGGGTTGCCCTAGTATTCAGTTCAGCAAAAGCAGAGAAATTATAGTACTTTCTAAGTACAGTTCTCGAAAAGAATGAATCTAATGCAATTCCAATTATCTCCTCTACTCTATTTCAAAATTCAATCATTTTCTTCTACATTACACTGAAATAAATAATTTTTGATTTAATGCAATAAATAGAGAATTGTTGATAAGTTATAGGCTTAAGTAAAAATAATATTTGTCAATTATCAAGTATAGAAACTGCAAAGACAAAATTATTCTAAAAGATTTTTTAAAACATTTTAAAAAGACATAGGAAACCAAATGTTTGAGATTCAAAGTTTGATTCTCATAATTTGAAATTAGACAACAAAAAAGAACAAATTACAAACAATAAATAATTATTATAATTTCTTCCTGGTTTTACTACAAAATTTTTTATTACGATTTCCCACACACAAGAGAACTTTCCTGCTAAAAGAGGAGAATCAAGTTCAAGTAGGAAATAACCTTTTTAAAATAGAAGAACAAGTACACTGGGACAAAGTTCACAGCAAAAGATAGGCCTCGCCAGATTTCCCACACCTAATGAAATTATGACTTTTATGGTAAAACAAAACAAAACAAAAAACAGTTCTTATTCTCAGCTTTCCAAAGAAATCATTTTCAAAGCCAGACACTCTCCCTCTCCCCACTCTCCACCTTCAAGTAGGCCTTGGTGTCTGCTGTTCCCTTCTCTGTGTTCTTGTGGACTCAATGTTTAGCTCCCACTGATAAGTGAGAGTTTAGCTCACTTATAAGTGAGAACAGGTACTTGGTTTTCTTTTCCCTGACGTTAATCTGTTTATGATTATGGCCTCCAGCTTCATCTGTGTTGCTGCAAAGGAAATAAACTCATTCTTTCCTATGGCTATAGTATTCCATGGTGTATATGTACCACATTATCTTTATCCAGCTTATCACTGATGGGCATTTAGGTTGATTTCGTGACTTTGCTATTGTGAATAGTGCTGCAATGAACATACATGTGAATGTGTCTTGTGGTAGAACAATTTATGTTCCTTTGGGTATATACCCAATAATAGGATTCCTAGGTCAAATGGTACT